TATAAATCACTTAAAATTAATACTTAACTAAAATTTAGCAATTTTTTCTTCTAAATTTGCTCCTTCATTGAAAAAAACGAATTCTAATTTTCTAAAAAGGTGCGGTTTTGTCCCTGAAGGTCTGATTTCGACTCAAATTCATAATTGGTCTTTGGATATCAATATATAGTTTTTTTAGGTAAATTTTGTGAAAAAATTTATTTATTTATACCTTATGATGTACATAATATTAATTTTACAAATCTATCTGAATGTATTTTGTTTATGGCTCTAATAAATAACTAGAAGCTTATTTTATAAAAAAACATCATTAGCACTTATTAATTTAACTACCTTCTTAATTGCTATCTATACTTTTAATATAATCAGCTATTATATTTTGAAAAAACATCTTCTACAAGTTTATGTTTATGTTTTTTTTTTTTTTTTTTTTTTTTTTTTTTTCCTCTATTAGCCGTATTACAACATAACATTATGACATCACCTATAATATTTTATTTTTACTTAATATTTTATTACAAGTAATTTATTATAATAAAGTATATTTACTTTTTAAATTTTATTTTTTACTTTTATTTATTTTCATATTTTTTTTGTTTATAAATGGTATTAAGCTTTCAAACCTATTGTATTTTTTAACTTCACTTTTTTATCTTTCACAAGTACTTTTGTAAGCAAATCTACAATATTATCTTCCATCATATAATAAATCATACTTATTATTCTTTCTTCAATCTTCTCCTTTACAATGTGATATTTAAATTCAATATATATACGATAAAAGAATGTTCTTTTGGATTCTTTATAAATCTAAAGCATCCTTGGTTTTTATACTTGATATGATTTGCCCCTATTAATACAAGTCCTATATCTTTAAAAAAAATCTTATATGTCAAGCCTCCATTACACAATGACTTACTGCTTTGTATTTTGTTTCTATAATTGATCTTGCAATGGTTAGTTGTCTCTTGAAATTTTCAAAAATAGCTTTTATTTTAATAAAGAATATATATCTTGTAGTATATGTTTTATAATTTGAATCTCTAATCCAATCAACATTATAATAACGTTGCAAATCAATGTTTTTATTACCAAGGCACAATTTGAGGTCCAATATGTCTTTTTAAGTATTTCATGATTCTCTTTACCACCATCTAATATAAAGGACTATCCTTAGACATGTATTGACTTACAATACTTACTATATATTTGAGATTTATTCTTGTGGCTACTATTGCATACATAAATGAGTCAATTACAACCTTCTATAGAAAACTTTCAATTTCACCTTTAACTTATACAAATTCTTTCTTTAATAGCTTTATGTGCTTCAAGATGGCTTTAAGTAGAATATCAATTGGCTTGCACCCTTTTATATTGTTTCAATACTTCTTTAATATATTTTCTTTAGCTAATTAGAATAGTATATTTGGTAAAATTTATAATAAATGTAATACCAAGATAATAATTCACATTTTATAGGTTATTCATTTAATATTTTTCTTCAATTTTTTCTTTATTTTTACTATATTTTCTATTTTTAAATATTAATATTAGCATTATCAATTAGAATGATAAAAAAAATTAGGTAGAAATAAAAATAATTAAATTTAATAACATCTTTTAGAAAAGCTTCATAGAATCTTTTTAGACACAAATTTGACTTTATACGTATTTTTAGATGATTTGTAGGTTGAAAACTTAACCAATAAGTTGGCTGCATATCATATATATTGACCACTTGTTTTAAAAGTTAGCTACATTTTGCACATGTTGACTACTTATGGTAGAAGTTAGCCATGTGGCATTCATGTAAGAAATCAACCTTGTAAGTTGGGAATTTTTTAAATGACCTATAGAACATTGTTTCATATTTTTTTTAATTAAATAGGATATATAAAGGCAAAAGTGAGATATTTTTTATTTTTATTAATATCTTTCTTCTATTTCTGTCTTAGCTTAAGAATCTCTAGTTTATTTGTATTTAAAAATAGCCATTTTAATTTCTATCTTATATCCATTTTTGATTTGTTTACATTCTCTATGTATGTGTCATAAGAGTGTATTCCTTATTTAATGTTTTGTTATGATTTTTGTCATTGATATCCATAGTATTTGCTAAGTTAATCAAATTATCAACATAAATAATTATAATTAATAAATATTCATTTGATTACATTTTATATCATATATAATCTATCTTACTTCTAACAAAACTTTTTTTTATAAAAATATGTCAATACTTGGTATCATACTATTAATAATTATTTGATTTCATACAATGATTTCTTCAAGTTGCATATAAGTTTCTCTTTGCTTTATTGTAAAAATCCTTGGAATTAGTCCATATAGATGTCTACTTACAATTCTTTATTTAAGAAGATTTTTTTCACATCTATTTTAGTATATTTTAAACTTAATTACTTCTTTAATTGCCACAATAGTCTTAATAGTGGTGAATTTGGCAACATATACAAATGTCTCATTTAAATCAACACCAACCACTTGTGAGTATCCTTTGGCTGCTAATCTTGTCTTATGCTGCACCAATATATTTGTTACATCTTTTTTTTGTCTTAAATACCAACTAACAACCTATACTTGTACAATTTGGAGGTAGTTGAGTCAATTTTCATGTATTATTATCAACAAGAAATTGATATTCTTTTTCTATGGCCTTCTTCTACTTACTAGCATTTAATGAATTTATGGCATGACATAACATCACATAATTATCAAGATAAGAAAATTTGGCATATTTATGACTAATTTGAAGGAAATTGTGATTTTTCCACTAACTATTAAGAAGTCTCTTAGAGAGTTTTTTTTTTTTTTTTTTTTTTTTTTTTTTTTTTTAAATCAAAGATTGATTTCAATATTACTTTTCTTTCTTTCTTTAAAATACTTAGAAGCATATTTGTTAATTTTTTGAAAAGATAAACTTTCTTAACACTTGCATTTAATTCTTTATATTATTTTTTTGGCTCCAAAAAGCTCTTCTTTATGTAGAGTGATTGTAATGGAAGATGTATCCATAATCACACCATTACAACTACTTGAACATATCTCTAAGAACTTACAAGTATTTTTGTATTTTAAAAGTTCAAAATCATGGGATTTAATGATATTCTTAGGTTGCTAATTCACGAGTCTATAAGCCTTATTTTCTTTACAATATCCAAAAAAATGCACTTGATGTCTTTTGTATTAACTTTAGTTATCAAAGAATTTGACATCTTTGTATATGCAATACATCCAAAAGTCTTCATACAAAAAATATAAGATTTTTTAATTTTTTATTCCAATTCTTTTTGGATGTCATTAAAGTAAAGATACTTACTCAACATTTATTTCTTATATAAATTGCATATACCATTATTTCTATCCACCAGTATAGAAAGGACATATACCATTATTTCTATCCAAAATACATGGCTTAAGTATTGAATATGCAATTTGTTCTATATTATATTTGCAATAGAACAATTAGCATGCTCAACAACTCTATTTTGTTGTAGAATTTATCATGTAGAGATTTACCTTGCAATGCCTTCATTTTTTAATGTTACATCAAATTTCTTAGACAAGAAGTAACTTCTATTATCTGTACCCGATATCTTGAATTTTCTTTCTAATAGATTTTCTAAAAGTGCCTAGAAGTGTTGAAACTTGGCGAAGCATTCACTCTTTGTATTGAGTAGATAAATCCAAACTTTCTTTGAATAATCATCAAATAATATAAAAAATTACTTAACTCCTCATCTAGATATTTTTTTATTTTTTTGTTTTATTTTTTGTTTTATTTTATAGATTTACAAATATTCAAATACATTATTTCTAATAATTTAGAAGCACATATTTCTCTACCACTTGGAAATAAAGTTCTTTATTACTTACCTTGAATGCATCCTTTACAAGCAATATTTATTGCATTTGAGCCAAGGTTCAACCTACTTACTATAGCTTCAATATCCTTAATGTGCTTCACATTAAGATGCCTAAGGTGACAATGTCAAATACTAAACTTGTTTTGATTTCATAGAAATTTGGCAAATGCCGCCATTTCCACTCTATTCATCTTATTGCAATTGAAGATGTATAAATTATCTTTTAAAGCCATAGCCACTTTATCTCTATTCAAGCTAAACATTCATATATAATTTTTTTATCTTTAAATTGATGGATGGTTTGGAAAAAATCAATGTTAAAAGATAAAATGTGAATTTAAAAGTGGATAGTTTGTAATCTTCAAAATATAATCATATTTTGTAAGAAATAAAAAAATCTATTTATTTCTTAAACAAAATGATTTTGAAAATATGATTAATGGTTTAATAAGTATCAAGTCAAAAATTGTTTCCAAAGAAACTTTCTAAAAGTAAGAAATTTATATGAAAAGCTAAAAGCAAATTGTATATTATATTTTACTTTCAATAAATTCTTGTAATCAATAAATACATATATTTTATCTTAATATGGTCTTGATTTGATATAATACACTATCCTTGATTCATTAAGATATATTATAATTAAAATTGACATCTGTTTAAAAGATAATTATGAATCTGTTGAAAAATTGAGTTAAAACTTTATGTTTTGTAATATCCATCAAAGAAAAGTTAAAATGATTTACTGGTTTTTAAAAAAAACATTATTCAAATAAAATAATTACAAAATATTTAGAATTTTACTGTATTTTTAAATTGCAATATAAAATAAATCCGTATTTTAAAACTTTAATCAAACCCAACAAGAATAAGTTTTAAATATTTTCCAAAACAAAGAACACAAAAAAATCAAGATTATTTGAAACATCATATAAATTTTCAATTTCTCAATTTTGATAAACAGTTCAAGTTTTCTTATTACATTTAAATTTAAGAAATAAAATCTATATAAATAATAATATTATTAATACATTTTTTCGTTAAATTAGAAAAAATTAAAAATGATTTTTTTAAAAAAAAAATTACTATCATGCTGCAATTTATAAGCAAATCATTTTTCTTTAATCTAATTAAGATTAATTCATTTAACCAAAGTAGAGAAAATAGAACTGGTGTCAAAAGGGCTTTGATTTCCCATTACCCATTAATCTACCTGATTTTTCTCAGAACTTTTTTTTTTTCCATACAATAACTTCATGTGATGCTTACAAATGTAAGTAATTTATTTTTAGTTTTATTTTCAGTTTTATTTTTGTTGTCAACATGAAGAATCCTCTTTGAACTTCACTTCTCACAATTGTACTTCTAACCAGTGGTACTTCTAATAAGCATCATGTACTTGCCCTAAACCTCCACCACCCACTTTGTACAGATATTTAATTAAGAAGAAAAATGTGACAGGAGGGAAGATGCTTTGGAAGGACAAGTCAAGGATTAGAATTGCCTTGAAGGCTGCTAATCTTAATGTAACGGATGAGGCCAAAACCCATCTGCATCTTCACGTTAGATGAGGACAAAATCCTTGTTTTTGTTGTTTAGATGAGCACATTTCCAGACACTCCACAAAGTAAGATCTGGTCACATGTGCAACAACTAACTTACTGCCTCCATTCAGTAGCATCCAGCTTCAGTCACTAGAAGCTTCTGATCCATCCAGAGTGCCGTCGCTATGGCGAAACAGTCTAACACTATGAAAACATCTGGTAGGCTAGTTAGTTGGAAGCCTAGAAAACACACACTTGTAGTATTCAAAGTTTTCCTTCAAAAAACAACAGGAGGAGGAGGGCCTGGTGATGGAGTTTGTAGGTGGGATCTTAACTTCTCCGCGAATCCTTCAACTGGGAATTTTAACGAGAGAGACTTGTTACCGCTGTGGTGGTGCTTCCCCAAAAATACAGACAACAGTGGTTCGGATCACTGGACGGCGGAGGGGACTGTGCTTCAGAAATCAAGACATAAGCAATCTTTTTATATCCGCTCAGAAGGTTCAAAAGGGTTGCGTTCTCCCAAAAGTCAGCACCGAACCAGGTGACGGAGCTCATGTGTATTAAAAAAAAAAAAAAAAAAAAAAAAAAAAGGAAGAAAAAAAAAAGTACTGATACAACGTCCTTGAGTAGGGTCCTCAAGATGCTCTACCGTTGTGCCGATCTAAGAGCAGCCGAGCAGCTGACGAAGGAAGCTCGTTGGGGAGTTTGCATCCCGAATCCATGGAAGAGGCCGAATTCCTGCGTCTGGTTCCCGGCTCCTCTGGTTTGGGGTCTTCTGAGAGACTTGAATGGCAGTAGACGCTGCGGTTTCAACTGTTTTGTGGGGTGGAGTGGTTGAGACAACCATATCTGGTCCATTTTGGAATTTGGCATCTGAGTTGCTTGATTTCCCGAATTTCCTCACACCCGAGCCTGTGAAGGAGGAGAATGGAGCTGTTGGGTGCACTCGGAAGTCCACCACAGTGGCTATCACTCATTGTTCCGCCTTTCAGGTAATATTTCATAATGTAGGGATGATTCCATCGCGATTGAAATTGTGATGTGAACCCAAACTTCAACATAAAGCTTCCAATACGTTCGCATATGCTTTGATATGCTTTCATCTCCCTTGGTTAAGGGTCATGCGTTAGTACAAACAGTTGTGAACCTTGCCTGAACAGTTGTCGATTCTCTCTATCGCTTGCCCTCTTGCGGTTAGGATGGAGCTCCTTCTCACTTTGCAAGCTCACTTCACTGTCGTGGATGTATGCTTATTTTACTCGTGAGTAAATCCTGTTTGCACATGCCGAGGTTTTATCACCAACCCTACAGAAAACCGTTAAAAGCTGCAACTGCCGTGTCCTAATGTTTTTGTGTTCGCTCGCAGGCGGCCTAGAAAGAGACTCTGGAAAAATTTCAAGATGTGCAGCAGTTGTTCCCAGCTCAACCCATCTCAGGCTTTGTGTGCACTTCCACCAATGTGTGTACAAGAGTTAGATACGCATGCTGCGAGAGCCAGAGCTAATTGAGCATATTCATCACGGAGAAGGGAAAGTTCGTGAGATTTGAAATGATCGAAAATTAGCGGAAGTGCTCAGATGCGCAGGGTTAGAAAGTAATCAACTGCTTCCATCTACTTCTGTGCTTTGTAGGAGTTAGTGCTGGAGACCTCTGATGAAATGATGCAAATCGTTACAGGAGCGTGCAGGAAAATTGTGTTCATACCCACTATCAACTGAGTAGGAAAGTGAAGTTTCATTAGATAGCCTTCCAAGATTATCTGCAGGTGAAGGTAGTAGGGGCTACTTCCGTTAAATTAAGCAATTCAGCTGGTTTGATGTGCACAAGGTTGATGGTTAAAGTGGAAGTGGAAATTGAAGACTGAACAAGTTTTTTTTTTTTTTTTTTTTTTTTTTTTTTTTTGTTGAATGAATATGTTTTGGATTTTTGAAGTAAAAGAATTACAGACGATGTAGGTTCTAACCGTGCACCCTTATTCCCATCACGATTGGACTCATTTATCACCGACTTCCATTCATTGGTTGCATCAATCACTAAACAAAACGAACAATAGCTGATATCTGCTGTTTACAATACAACAAATGCTTTGGAACCCTCAATCATAGAACAATCATAGAAAGTCCCGAAGAGAAAACATGTGAAAACCTGCTGAAACAAAAAAACAGAAACCCCCGAGCTGAACTTGAACACTAAGGAACGATTAAGCATTTGAAATTCTTCGTGATTTGAAACTTTTTCCTTTCCTAACAAATCGGCATCAAGTACTCAAACTTTGCAACTACTGTCAAATATTCTGCAATAAACTATGTCTTCAAATCTTTTATAGATTGCGCATACAATGAACATAGAGGAGAGCAGAATGCCAATGTACAACTCTGGATATATTATTCTCTCTGTACAGTGGAGTCACACGCGCAAGGTAAACCGGTCCAGAGGAAAACATTTGAACGGGACTACTTCAACTAAACTTCAAACATGAATCTAAATCTCATGCTTCACACCTGTTCCTAAGGAAAAGGGTTAAATCTGTTGACTGAGTTACATTTGAAACGATCCTTGGCCACTCGATCTTGGACTGTAGTATGAGGCTGAACCATTTTGTGAGCCTGCAGATTGCTGAAGAGATGCGGAACCATTGGATGTTCTGGGACTGTAGAAGGACATTGAGCCATTAGAAGTCCTGGGGCTGAACATACCGAGGTCTCCAGGTCCGACAAGGGTGAGAAGGAAGTACCGGTAGTTTCCACTTGTTTCATTGGCAATCATATCTTCTAGTTTTTTCTTACTTTCATTCGCAAACTCCAACTTGATATATTGCATATCCACCTCAGCACGAGTTGTTACTACTCGAATCAACGCATCATCGTCCGTTCCTGCTCCTCCTAGTGCAGCATTTAGTTCCTGAAAGCATTTTATGAACTTATTTTCACACAAAAAGAAGAAAAGAATAAAAAGACTAAAAAAGAGGGGGGGGGGCATGATTTCTATGCTTCCCATACGTTCAATGCACTATTCATGACGCTTATCTGATGCTTTACCAGGTTGAATACAAGATGTTGAATAAGGCGCAAAATTCAACATAAGTTGACGAGTAAGTATTGTGAGTATGCGAGTACCTCCGCATAAAATTTTGCCGGTTGGCGGTAACACATCACAGTGTATCGAAGTGCTTGTTCGAATTCTCCACATCCCCCCCGTGTAAGAGACTGCGAACACAACCATGAAGATCAGCATGTATAGATGGTTGCTAACTCAAGTGAAACTAATAATATCTGAAATCAATATGAGGGAGCTGATTCATGAATCGTCCTCGTCCCACTCAATGACAAAGAAAAGACCGAGAAGAGAACTAACCTGCTCAAGTTCGCGACCGTAATGCTGATGGTAGTAATTGAATGTGGCCGTAAGCTGTTGTATGCTCCGAGTGCAAAGTATGCGGACCAAAGTATCCTCATTACCTCCTTTTCCTATAACCACCTTATGGAGTTGATGTGCATCATTTAAAGCAATGTGCCTATCAACGGGTGTGTTCTCGGGCCGATTACCACGAACCAGCGCTAACAGGAGCTGCACATCACCGAAATGAGTCCTGTCAGGTGCTCTCGTTACCAGTATCACAACTAGCCAGAAACTAAGAAATCGGAAGTACACCATAAACAATCTATGGAAACTCAGTGCTCTACTCACCTTTGTAACACTAACTAGTCGTTTGGGTGCTTCCTTCACCTTAGATTCACTACTACGCCAAAATGCCCATTTGCTCTGTCCAATTCCACAGGGATCAAGGCACTATGAATTGCAAATGTCTGATGACAACAAAAAGACGAGATCAAAACTTGTGAACTAATCAATCCCAGTGCCAAATAAAAAGATCGTCATTGCCTACTTACTATGCTATCAGCTTAAGACTGGCTAGACTGAATAACGCAAAACCGGAGGGTCGACTACGCTTATGCACAAAACGCACGCTAGCCCTGCAGTTTCCGAACCAGTGATTCTAATGCTACCGACAGACCCCGTCGGACGGGTCTAGAAGAACTACGAACCTTCTGAAACTCCACGAAATGTGAATCCGTTCCGTCCATGTGGTTTTCTATAGTTTGATTGAACATGGTATAATACGCTTGCTTGATCAAGTAGAGTTGTGCTGAATTCCGTGTACAGACTAACCCAATCAGAGAACGATCGGCCTTTGTGCCACCAACTTTCATCAATTCGTGCATAAGTATTGCATCACGCTCAGCCGAGTCCATCATCCACAGCAGTATACATTTCTACAACCACTCACACGATCACCAAAACCAGTGGACACGAGGTCCAGTTGAGATCCCAAAATACGAACCATCAATGATGCCTGCTTTAAAGACTTTCAGACGCACGCAAGGATGTGTACAAGTTACTTCTGGAAAGTTAACTGAATGTCACCAGTCTGTAAAGCGAGAATCCAGAAGGACCCGATGATCCCAACGGAAAACTAACCTCAAGCTTGCCACTAAATGCTGACTTAAGTCGCTTATGCAAGCTCTCCCCATACACTGTCTGATAAGCCTGTGCAATTTCAAGTCGCTGCGCCTGCGTTCTCCTTCCTAAAATTTCAATAACTTTCTTCTCATTGGATCCGAGACCTGTGTTCCACCCAAGCCTGTTACATATCTTCCATCGGATAGAACTGCGAGGCTACCTTTACAGCTTCAACCCACTGTACAAAAATTTGAAACCTAATTTGTCGAGAGCGAAGAGAATTTTTAGTACGTACCTTTGAGTGAACTTCGAAGCTCTTTGCAATCCTCTTGTAAATTGAAACAGGGTGGCAGAGTCAATGTCCCCATCTCCTACTCACCCTAGCTCCACCTTTGCGACTGTATCAATCTCTAAATTCTTCTCGAGTTAAATGTGTCTGTCTGACTTCACATTGGACTCACTGAACTGGAAATGAAAGAAAAGTTCAGGCTCAATGTGAAGAACCCTAATCTTGGACATCCTTGACATTTATCATTTGCAAGCCTAGAAGCTGGTCATATCAGGGCCAAATTCCGCTGCTGGCGCGCCAGAGCCCGTAGTTCTTCACTCACGCTCGCACATCCGGGGAAACGTCATCAGCAACATTCACAGACCTGTCTTGCATCGCGTACCCACACTTCCGAAAGACTCAGGATAGATTCACCAAGGGCAATAATTGTATTCAGATCCATTCTGAAAATCCCCAATGGCAACAAATCCTCAACCAGCACTAAAAAAGGCTGAGCCACTCAGCAAGTATCTGGACTAAATGGAAAAATTGGCGGGATTCAAAATACATTTGCAGTACGAAGGTGTCAGCGTGAATTCTAGCTCTCTTACTGGCAAACTGTTGTTGCAAACACACCGATGACTACCTTGTCACGAAAAAAAAATCAGTGATGGTGACGAGGAGGTTGGAGAAAGAGTATGAGACTCAAGCATACGTCGTTTCAGCCTCAGAAGCGAATTCAATTCCTACAATAACAAGAAATTGAAATGTTTTAAAAAAATAAATGATGAAAAATTGGACGTGAGCAGTTCAGCAGAGAAGTCCGAGACGCCGAAACTACGCACACGAGAAGACATGCACAAAACTGAGCCAATGCTAAATCCAACTGCATCTACAGCAAGTCGAAGCGCATCGGACGCAAAACTTCGTCGTGCAGAACGATCACCAAAGTAGCAAAAAGCGAGGCGAAAGGTTTCTGCGCAGGCGGGAGAGCGACACACAAATCTCCGCTACCACCCAAAAAACATAACCGTGTCCTCTACACGAAACAAAACAAATCAATGAGCGATAGATTCCGCAACCCAACCTTTGGCGACTCACTGACAGATCTACCCACCTACCCACCCACCGTCGCGGTAGATCCCTGACGCGACAAGCGCACCCCCCAAAAAAAGGGATCATGCAGGGGTAACTGCTCCAAGCACAATCGCTGAATCCTGAGGGGAAATCCTCAACTCACCACAACGAACCTGCACACAGAAAAACAAAAGCAAAACCATTACCCACTCACGCCCCCAGATACTGTCAAATCCGAAAACTGGGTACTGGCGCCACTCGGCTAGTTAGGCAAACACCGCAATCGAAAGGGATCACGACGTCGGGGAATTTCCACAGCGCTCACGATTTTGGTGGCTGCTCGCAATGAAGAGCCGCAATTCCGCAGCGGAAAGGGTGACGGTGGCTAGCGGCAGAGCCACGAGATCTGAAAAAGTAACGCAAAACAGTGAAGTAAAAAGCAAAAGGAATTCTCAGATCTTTTTTCTAAAGAACCCAGCTCCACGTATGGCCTCTCCGAGAGTGACACGTGGCACCATGGAAATATTTATTTATATATATATGTATATATATCATTCTTTTGTTTTATCCCTTTTCTTTTGTTCTGTTTCCTCCATTTGACTGGGTCTTGTGGAATGAGTGTGCAACATCATGGATGCTATGCAATCAACTTAGTTTTAAATTTTGCAGCATTGTTTACATAGTTTTAAGGAAATGAATTATTTTTAAAAGTATAGTGGTCCTCCTTTAAAGATTCTATGGATAAACATGAAAGACATGAGGGACGTTATATATTGGTGTGAAAAGAATTGAATCTTTATCGTGAGGCACATTTTTGTGCTTTTGATAAGAATAATGGCTCACTTGACATGGAAATATTTTATGTCTTGATAAGTAATGAATGTTGTAGATAAAAAGATATCTCACTCTAGTGGGGCCATGAAGTGACAAAGGGGAGTTTTACCCTCACAATGGATGCTAAATAGTAAAAGAGTGATATCATCAAATGAGGTTTAGGTTATGAAAATGAAAACAATGCAATTTGAAGATTTCAAATTTGAGAATGATTTTTACACCTAACTTTGAGTTTGTGAGGTATTGACATTGAGAAATCAAAGTTTTGGAACAGGTTAGATAAAGTAATAAATATACACAACATCTATGAGATTGGTGATGCATTTAAAATCTTGATTATAGTATGTCCAAACATAATTGCATGTATTTTTATTTTAAAAAAACCCAATAACAAATATACTCATTAAATATATAAGTTAAGAAAACTGTAAGAATTATAAATTGCTGTTCATCTAGATGTGGAGTTGTGAGGGTCGTGATTGTAAAATTTCCAATGGTGAGAACTTTGCTCACTTGCCCTGCAGGGTCATGAACATACAATTTCTCTGAAGATTTTGCCTTCATTGGTCTTCATGATCCGGTACCAAAATCTTGGTATGCATGCAGTGAAAATGGCTTTCACCTTGTTTCTGCTCTATAATTCCACTCTGAGTAAAGCTAGAGCTGGAAACTGCTTTTGTTCGAGAAGCCATTGACATCTCAAACTTCTTAATTTGTTCTTAACTGATCTTGCTGTGAAAGAGCATGTGTCCTGCTTCGAGACAGTTACAGTTCATTTGCGGATTTGTTTATTGTCATCCGCTTTTCACAACTCACCCAGGTCAGCCGTTGCAGACCTTTGGACTTCGCTAGACACTCAAACGTATGAATATGTCTAGTCTGATGCCTAACTTCGTCGCATTGACCTACTGCGTGTCTCCTCATCGTTTCCTAGGGAAGCATAACTGGTTCTTAATACGAGCTTCAGCAAAAGCATCAATTATCATGTTGCAACTATTCATGGTTGTGTACTAGAGCGCACAGAAACGAGGTCGAACTTGAAGATGAGGACGCCATGAGCAGGAAAATGATTGGCATCATCTGTGTAGTAAGACAATGTTAAAATGCTCCGTGCATTATTAATCGCACCTCCTCGTAACCATCATTCCAGTGCATCGGACGAGGTGGTTGTTTGAATTGTTCGTGCACGCTTTGTCTTTTGCTTCTGCCATGTCCGTAGAAGTCCTCAGAGCCCATGTCAGCAACGTGATGCTCATGCGTAAGTAAAACACCCCCCTACTTCTCACATTCCATTGTCACAAACTCACTCCAGATGCTTTTCCTACAACATTGATCTCATAGATGCCCCGTAAACAGTCTGAAGTTTACTTTGCATGTCTTCTGGCGCATTTGCCTCGAACTCAATCTCTCTGGATCCCATGCAGTAATTCACCGTAAGCACAGCTGGTGAGGTCGTTTTTGAAATTACCGAAGAACGTAATTCATTTAGTTACATCGTCTGAGGAAAAACAGTTGCTATAGTCTATACAAACAAAACGGTTCCACTGGTACGATACTCTTGCGCGTACTAAATTCCACCCAGTCTGAGTAGCTGGTGCTAACATCCACATACCCCTTGTGTTGTGGTGAAAGCATCTGAAAACAACACATGAAAAGAAATGATCTTAAACTTACATTAAAAAATGTTAGGAAAACTTTAAGAGTTATAAATATAAAATATAGAATATAAAATTTACATGTATATGTAATTAAAATTTTATTTTTAGAAAAATGTATAAATTTACAAAATAAAATTTTAGTTGGTAGTAAAAGATACATCAATATAACACAATGCAAGTAAAATTAGTGTAAACAGTTAAAAGAACCATTTGTTTATGAAAATAAAATAATGAAAGAACTGTTTAATTCTATCTCTCTCTAAATATAAATATATACACACATGAATGATTAAAACCAAAATATTTTGCTTTAGTAATTTTCTCACAATTTTAAAAATAAAAAACTTATATATAGAAACTTTTTATATAATGATGTAAGAAAATAATCATAATAAGAATAACAACAACACTACCAATACCAAAGTACTTATTTAAAAGATATTTATAAATAATCTAAACATCAAGATTAAATTAGATGTTTTTATAAAAATATATATCATAACCAAGAACTATATATATATATATATATATATATATCATATAAGTAACTTACTATGAAATACCACGAGATTTTACACACCAAATTAAAATAGAGTTACAAAATCCAAAAATTAAAATATTATGTAACAGAAGAAGAAGAAGAAGAAAAACATTACCAACAAATGTAATCTTGTTAATCAAAATTCTTTGTGTATATTGATGTCACACATACATGAATGTTTTCAACAAACAATGAACTGTTTATATTGATGCATCTCTAAAATGAACTTGAACACAGAAAAATTGTAAATAAAAACTTAAAATTTAAAACCCCTATAATTTGATATTTTTATTTTTGATTCAGATATAATTAAAATATATATTTATATAGATATCAAAGAAATTAAAGATTTGATCAAAACACCATTGGTTATTCTTTAATTTTTGGTGTTACCAATACTGTCTTGGAAACAAGCATACAAATTGAAGACCAAACATATGGTTTCTAAAAGTAAATTGGCTTTAGTATATTCAAAGCCATTTCTAAAATATACATTATTGAATACATATTTTTAATGTTGACGTTGAATTTTCAATAGCTATTTTTAAAGTTATGAAAAAAATTCAAAACTTAACATAAGAAGAAATAAATAATAGTAGAATCTTATTTTTTAAAATTATTTTTAATAATTAAACAAGATTTCTATTATATGTTATACTTCAACTATTACATGATATTTTAAAATTAAATGGTTAATCCAGTACATCTTTGTAGGTACTGTTTTCTAAATTATCTCAACATGTTCTCCAAGTAAACATTCCAACAACCATCAAAAGCTGTTGCAAAAAATGGAACTAAATCTTGAGTCTATGACAATTTACAACCACATACACAAATCTCGTCATTTTGCACAATTCTTACTTCAAAGTTTTCAAACCATATTACTCCAGCGCACTTGATATTTTTTACACTAAAATCACTTATGAAATTTCAATGCCTAGACAAAACCTTCTCTTCGCATTCAACAAACTGAGACGCATTTCTTTTGGTACGTAATCAACTGTTTAACCCACTACAATTGCTAGTATTTCATTACAAACTTCCGTCCACAATGAGTTCAAATTCTAAAACCGTGTGTCGGTGGACTCCACTGACACCACGCCACCAACAATGTGTCGGTAGAAAACAATAGAGTAGCATGGACTGCGCCGAACTTCTTCCGAGCTCAGCTGTGCTTCGTCGACAGCGCTGCTCTTCACCTAAAACAGACCTAGTTTCCATATTTGAAACAGACCTAGTTTCCATATTTGAAACAGACCTAGTTTCCATATTTCTACATCGACATTAGGATAGATGATCGATATCACTGCGTCAGGGCTTTTTGCACTTTAGCGGGGACAGAATCCGAGACCAGAATGACGCTCCGAGACAGCAGAGCAATGTCGCGCTCCAGCTGCGAAAGGTTCTCCTCGTATCTGCATGGATCACATTCCAAGTCACTAAGATTATGCTTGGAATTTCTAGACACTTCGCCGTGGGAGATTCGATCTGTATTATCAACAATAGAATGCCAACATGGAGACGCTCATTGTTAGTCACCTTTCTTTGCGTCTTTTCTTGGATTCAATGTCCAGAACAACAGACATGCGTTGGTAACGCGCGTTCATGTCGGCCCACTTCAGCTTCAAGTTGTTCATCAGCGTGATCCGTTCCTTTTCATCTAACCTGCACCTCTCGATCAGGAAACAATTTCAGACAGCACAGGGTTCTCACTCTCTTGACCTAGATCCTGTGCTCTGAAATGTGTGGGTGGCATTGAAGGTAGGCTTCAGACTTGCGTTAACCTCGTACTGGCAGAATGCCTTGATGGAAAGGACCCATGCTCATAAGCCAGTTCACAAGCAAGGTTTGATTCGGCTTTTTTTTCAATTCGGGAGGGAATTTTAAGCAAGGTTGAAGCACGTCATACTTGCGAGTTCCTTTGTGTCCGCAATCCGCTGCCTGCTGTTCAAGATTGTCTTTGTTGTTTTGATTTGTGAGGGTCCTCATTCTGCTGGCCAAGTACGTGGGAACCGTCGCGAAACCCCGTCTTAGTGCGTACCTCTTGGGCTTCTTCGGACATTTCGATCTGTTCGGGCCTGCAAAGCTCAGTGCAGATGTTCAAGTGAGACATTACCAACGGTCACCAGCAAGAGTTGGGGGGGTGCTTTGATTGTTGATTTCTCGAACAAACCGACCGTACAATTGTTCTGCTCAACGAGGTGAAAAAATTGAAAAAGGTTCGGTTAATCAACTGAGTATTAACTGGAATGTATCATCTGCTCAGCATTTGTCTTGATATAGTCCATCATTTTGACCTTTCCATATGTCTGCATGCGCAGATTCGAAGTCTTGAATACGCTGTCTGAAGCTTTAGAATCTGACAGACTCTCACTACTGAAAAACGAGGGGTTTATTTTTTGACAAAAAAAGGAAACAGCACAACGCACGCGTCATAATGAATGAAGATTCCGGATGTTTTGATTCACATCTCAAATTACACGTCAAGACTTACCGGCCGCTCTTTTGGGAGATCGGGCTTCCTCTTCTCGTGCTTCGTGCATCGCAGTTGCACTGCACCTGTTTCAACGATATAAGTTAGATCTAGGCTTCGACAGAAGGGTGCGTGACATTGTGCTTAAACTGATTCGAATTCATCCTGAGAGGCTCTGGGGAAGTCAGATTGTTCTAATAGATTCTACACTGACCTAAAGTATATGAATAAGAATCCGCTACTGGTGACAAACAATTCTGAAAAAATAGTTCAAAAATAAACATTTGATGTTTAGCTGTCTAATTTATTCCACCGTAGAGGATCTGTGGCTCCTTCGAATGTTTCCTTAAAAAGTTCCTAGCGGAAGGCCTGAAGGATCCCAGGGGGCGTCCAAAGGTGGCCGCCGCTTTCAACCTCATCGTCTGCTTCAATCTCAAGGTGATTTCGTCCACTTTCCGGTCCCGCTGCACACCAACCTCTGAAAGCTTAGAACCCGCCCCCAATTCCCGTTTCATGCAACTAGATGGAACCAGTCCACACTTTTTTCTGAAACACCATTATGCTATTTGGCTAGTGAATCTGATTCCACCATCCTGTTAGTTGCATAGCTGCGCTGATTCGTACTGATGCTCAGCAGACGGAGAATACGAAAGAGAACTGCGGAGGCTTACAAGTTCTTTGGCAGACTGCGGGGGTGTAAATGCGTGGTAAGCCTCGGAGGGTTTGATAATCTTGTACACACTCTCATGAGAATTCCACATCTTGACTCCTGTCTTTAGTTATGGAAGTGATACGTATTGGATTCAGAGAGAAGGATTCCACTGTCGACGATTCATCCAAATGTCATTCACCTGTTTCCAAGGCAGCTTGTGAGCTCAGGTAGTTTTTGACGAGTAGCTCAACAAGTCAGTTTCAAAGGTTCGGAGAAAGTCAGCATAGAAACGCATGCAACAGGTCTTGCGAGGCCCTCAAACACCATGATAAACTCACAAGTTTTGGTGCCGAAATCTTATACCGAGAGTATCCTTGTCTCGTCATTCTGTCGAGCTTCCCGTTCATGTCAAGTTAGAGGACGTGGCCCAGCACCGAAAACAGGAGCGTGAGGACGAGGACTGTCAAGACTTAACCGTTTCTGACTAGGGTCCGAAGGCATACGAAATTGAAACATATCTCCAAGGTTGCGACACGAACCGACGTTGTTAGGTGCACTGCTCGATGGTCAGAGGAACGCATCGGTAAGCTGGCAACCGTCAGATATGGCGTCTCATCAGCCACAGGGGCTGTAGCCAACTATCTATGAAATGAACAGCCGTCGAGGACAAGAAGGACTCATGCAATCGAATCCAACCGGAAGACACCGAGTTGGAGTGGAAGAGATCGGTAGTTGTGGTTAATTCGAAGACCTGATTGCTGAGCTTAATTTGTAAGCTAACTGCACATGATCCGTTGATCACCACCACCTGCACCATAACTTCCACCAAAAACCCAAGTTCTCCGATACGAAGAGTTTAGCTACAAAATCATTTTCAGACCTATTGGTGACCTTTCAAAGTAAAAACAGTCAGGTTTGGTATTCAGTTGCTAACGAAATAATATCTTCGAAAACAATGTTCTGGTGCAAAGCGACACAACCTCTAACAAGCTCCCCTGCTTCGATGTCTTGGGATACCGCAGCCCACCTTTGTTCATAGTGCCTACAAAAATCACAGAATCAAAGAAGTTGGATGTCTGGATGATATTTTTTTGACTTAAGACGTCGAACATCTGGTTACAACCCATGAATCGAATGCGTTCACCTCTAGTTCCCCTGACAACAGCACATCTTTCATTAGGTGGCCGGGAGGGAAATGATAATGCTTCCATCGCTGCGCACCAGGCTGGGCAAACACCATTATGCGATTTCAGTGCCACAGTCTGCGCCAGAGCCGCGAACCGACCTGGATACAATCTTATTTCAAAAACTATTTTCGCGAGCTCGCTGCACAACGTCTGTCCGAAGGCCATTTTCATATTGTAGTTCCGTGTTTCCGCAGAAGAATCACGTTCCAGGGTTGTTACAGACCTACCCCAATCCCAACACAGCGACATGAAAAAACTGTCCCCATCGCGGTGTCTCTGCCATTCCAAAGGTGGAGATATGTCGCTTGGATGTGCAGGTAGTGCAAGAAAAAAAGTTCGTTGGAGGTCTGGTCTGCGTTTCTCTCTCGAGTTGATGATGACTCAGTAGGTTTTTTGGACGGCACTTCGGAGGAGGTGTAGAACTCAGCACACGATTCGCTGGAGTAGTTTACGGTTTCCGACCAGCAATGGCTTCACGTAGCGTCGGTCACCTTGCACTTGAGAGTCAGTTTGTGATCCTGCATTCCATTCAATTGAGTCTCGTGCGTTGATAACAGTAACTGGACAGTGAGGGTCTTTTGACTCACCGGCAGACCCAATTTGGTGAGTGTAGTTCAGGTCGATGTTGGGCGATCTTCATAATCTCTTCATCTCGATGTTGGATATTACCACATGCATATGTAAGTATTCTCTTGATGTTGTATAGTTTCTCACCATCTCTACACCTCACCATCGCACAGTTGTTCGCAATCGCTGCAGCTTGCTATTGGTAGCTGGCTGTCTTGCACTTATATTATCTCCTTCGTTTGAATCCTCTTTACTAATCTTTCCTTGAAAAAGCATCTACTTGTCAGAAGTTAAAACATCAACACGATTGCTTAGAGCATCTCCATGAGTGGATGCTTTGGTTGTGGCGGGTCAGATGGCTTTACACCTCGTTTTCTCACCTCCACATGTTAACGTCACAAGTTTCTGGTAGAACAGTCACTTTCAATCAAACTTCCATGTCTTACACAAATGCCTCAACTATCTTGACAACGCTATTTAATTTCTGCGCAGCCACCGATCTTTGAGTGCTGACAGTGCTGCCTTCAATTGAGCGGCTATGGCTTCGTTGATTGTGTGAAGTCAATACGAACCCTTCGCAACTAATTTGTTCGCAGGATACTCGAAGTTTGAAAGATATGAACTCAAGCCTGAACAGGGTACCCCCGTTTGCGTTTGTTGTGGTTTTAGGCTGCAACGACATGCCGATCGTGATCCCATTTCACAACTCACAAACTTCCAATCTCGGGCTGTTGCCGTTATAGGTTCAGCACGAAAAAAATAAAGAAGGAGAAGAACGAAGTTGGTACAATTCGCATTCCTGAGGACTTTATAACTCCCGGAACGTTAATAAAACTACCGGGGCATGGGAATGCTGGCTTTGACGACGATACGGAGAGCGCGAGGGGTTGGGTTTGGGGGCTTCAGAGAGGTTGATGCCATTTCATGGATTGAGGTGGGGTAGTCCAATGAGATGGGTGGAGAGCAACTGCGTATTTCCAGCAGAAAGGCACCAGCAGAAGGATTTGTAGGTTTTGCTTTTATAAGTATCGACGAGAAGCCAAGGATCTGTCATCATTTCTGCTTTTTGGGGTTTGGATAAGAGTTGGTGATATTGGGCGAGTTTGATTTCAAAAGATGAACTCGTCGAGTTGCGTAAGTAATGTGTTGGTGCGACTCGCCGGGAGCTACCAGGCACTTGCACTGAGGGCTGAGGTGTAGGGGAGGAGCTTCAGTGTGTGCGGGCGCAGCTAATAGTCGCAGCATTGCACCACCAACATTTATCTGAGTCGTCTTGGAAAGGTGGGTTCAGTCTTCGGCTAAGCTCATTTAGGAGGAGTTGCATTGAGGGGAGGCAGTGTAGGCTGAGTGTTTTGGTGCCCTCGGAGGAAGAAGAAGAGGATGGAGTCGAATGCGGAACACACTTGTATGTACAGTGCCGCTGCGAATGAAGGGCCTTCGGAGTCACAATCCTCACCTGATGCGCCGAAACCTAAGCACGGTGTCAATATGTTCGTCAAGCTGGTAGGATCTTCCCCTTCTACTGTAGCTTTTCTCTGGGGTTCTTCTTCAGGATTTTCCAACACGAAATAGATTTTGAACGGCAAGTCACGAAACGAGATTGCTTTCATAGATGATTTCGACGCATGCAATTGGAGCGTAGTAATGTTTCATAGAACCTTGCCCCCAAAGTTCGTCATTCTTGAAGTCGAAATCAAACTCCGCTCCAACGACAATTTTTCCTTTGCTTCAGAAAAGTGTACACCAGACACCTTACCATCTGTAAACCCTGCAGTCGAAGAGTAAGAGACTCGGCTTTCGCGGCCTTTTCATCACAAATTCCATATCTATGAGCAGGTTCGAGAGAGACAGTTCTTTCGTATATTAGATGCTCGATTGCTTGGTCTGGATGTTTCACAAAGTTTTTTTTTTTTTTTTTTTTTTTTTTTTTGTTTCATCTTTTCCGGTGGTTCTACCTTCTCCTTCACTTTCTCATTCTGGTCAATGTCTAAGGTCTATTTGTGTAATTTTATTTTATTTCTCTCTTCTTCTGCTTTTTGGAGGTTGCAGGGTTTACATTTGGTTTTCTCAAGATTTATACGCTGTTTCTCACGAGTTGGTTTTGTAGTGCACTATTGGTTGCACACATTTTGAATTGTTCCGTTTTTAGATAGTGGGGTTATAATAATAATTGGAGCAGGCTTTACCTGAAAGAATATACAACACGAAAGGAGTGTGAACTAAAGATCGTCCCTTCGCTGTTTACACACAGATTCCGAGACTTTTACCAGTTGCAGTGATCGGAATTGCATTCTGGATAACAAAGTATCTGAATAGTACTCTTGCGGGTATCAAGGCACCAAACTTCGCAGTCGAAGGAGAGACTGCGCCAGGAGGGGCTTCACGTCAAGTGATTGCCAAAGCTGGAGGAATAGTTGCAAGTGCCTGGACTGGATTGGTGGCGGGTGGTCTGCACACATTAACAGGGCCTGACCATTTAGCCGCTCTTGCACCTCTTTGCATCGGCCGATCGAAGTTACAGAGCTTCTCTGTGGGCACTCTATGGGGCTGCGGCCACGATGCAGGTCAAATCATCTTCGGCATCATCTTCCTCCTGCTAAAAGACAGGTACGCCTCCACCAGGCTGACTCAAGCCACCGCCACCATAAGTTTCTACTGCCTCAAACCTGTCCTTCATGTATGTAGATGAGGACAAGCTCGGGTTTATTCCTCAATCTCTTACTCCTCTCCATTTTCCCACGTTAGCGTCTGCGCTTCTCATTGCAGGTTGCACCTCGACATCATCCACACATGGGCAGCCCGTGTAGTTGGACTTACCCTCATCACAATCGGAGGAATGGGAATCAGAGAGGCACAAGAGATCGATGCCGCGGCGTCAGTTTCAGCCGAGGGAGAAATGCCAACTGAACCCCTAAAGGTGACTGTTGGGTCCGCAACGTTCATCACCGGCATCGTCTACGGGCTCCAACCCGACGCGCTCTTGATGATCATACCCGCGCTGTCGCTACCTACGCGAGCAGCCGGGGCCGCATTCTTGAGCACCTTTTTGCTGGGCACAGTCCTGGCCATGGGCAGCTACACCGCCTTCGTGAGCTCTGTCAGCCAGGCCTTGCAAAAACGGGTCCCCAAGATAACGCATCTGCTCACTCTTGCATCTTCTTCAGTCGCCATAGCTCTCGGCACCGCAGTCTTGCTGGTCGAACCCTTTGGTTTCAGTCTCTTCTGATCCACCTTTTGCTACGAAACTTGCAGCTCCCACCTGCTTTGTCCGTTCGCAAGTGCCTGCTGATTTCGGCCATACCGTTGTTTCTTTTTGGAACAGAGAACACACATTCTTTCAAGTCTAAGATAGCTCTAGTATATAGACTATGGAGCTAGAACAGACAGTTACTTAGCACCATGATCGAGGTTAGTTATCGATCTTGCGGCTGTTTTTGCAGTTTACAAGGCTGTTGTTGTGACTTTTTGTGGTTGTGTTACTGGCAATTTGTTCGGTTTTCTGAAGCTTGAAGATTTTGTTTAGTGCATCCGTGGCTTTTGAAGTCAAGAGGTGAGAATAAGATTGCATGTTTTTGTGTTGAAAAAAGTGCAATTTCACATGTCAGAAAATATGCCAGAAATTCACCCTTTGTATGCCCCAAATGCTATGCAGATAAAGTTGATCTATTGTCCACTCCCCACTTCCTACCTATAGGATGGGGTATTTTCACTAGGTAGGCAACCTATTTATTTATGACCAATTCTAACATCCTATGGTCAGAAATAGGTCGGGGTTGGTTAAAATGATGTTAAGTTGTGAGCAATATATAAAATTCACTGTATTTGGAATGGGCATGCATGAACTATTGAAATTTAAATTTTGCACTAGTGGAGTTGCACACATAAGGTGGTTGATTATGTTTTGGTTATGTTGTGGGTGTGAAACGTGGTTGTAATCTTTAGAATTGCAAGGCAAGATTTGGGGTCGAAATTGGGTGAATGTGAGTTCAATTCAAATATAGTTTGTGTGACAATTGATAATCAAGGGAGCACACTTTCACAATTTGATTGCAAGACAAGATTTTGGATCAAGATTGGATGACTATGAAACGAAATTTGTAAACTTTTTGTATTATTGTTGGTGATCAAGTCAGTGTACCCACATGGCTCAATTGTGAGGCAAGATTCCAGATCAAGACTAGATGATTGTGAATTGAATTCGCACATTTCGTGTGGCAATTGCCCTTGCTATTGCCATGCATCAATCCAGCAAATGGCTTGTAATTGATTTTACAAAAAGATAATAATCCATCATTGGTTGGAATTGAATTGGTCTCTTTGTTGAAAATGGGTCGAAGAGAATCTTCAACAAAAACATTTATATAAATCCCATTTTTGGACCAAATTGTGTAAAAACACTTGGAATTGTCTTGATTTTTATTTCCCTCCATGAAGATTTTATTTTTATTTTTATTTTTACATTTGTTGAATATATGCTGAAATACTTAAGTTATTGGAAATGGGTTGGCTACCTTATGTGATTTTGCTTTGTTTGAGATGTTACTTCCACAAGAGAACACATTTGTATTTTTTTGAATTAACCATGGCTAATAATGAGTATGTGTTGCCATCCTTCCTCCCAAAGAGCCTTAAAAAGGAAACTTACATTTGAAGTTCTGTTATCAGTGATAGAATACATGATAAATACGACCCCTGTGTTTTTAGATACTTCATTTTATGATATCTGGACCGTTTGTGGACATTGTTACTGTTGTTTTGTACATATTTTATTATTAAATTTCTATAAATAGAAAATGCACAAAAAAGAGACTAAAGTAATGTTTTATGTGGAGTAAAGGGCATGTTTCATGTCCTTTTAAATTTAAAATGTTTTTGTAACATGTTTAAGATTATCGTATGCCATTTGGTTTGTATAAAATACTACTGTTTTCCGGTGGCTGCAATTCTCAAAACATGTAATGAACTAATCATTAAGACAAGAAATTTTTCTCCATACACAATTCTTACTTACAGGTAATTCATATAAACAAAACTTTGATAATCTGTTAATAAAATTTTGAAGGAAAAACCTTCGAAGTTTTCACACAATATTTTTGTGAAACCTTGATGAATTGTTACTTAAAAAAAAGTTGGAGTCAACATATAAATGCCTGAAAATTTCACCTCTTATAGTCGATTTTCGACCTAATATAAGAAGTCTGTGTGAAAAGGTTAAAATTGCATTAAAATCTAAGGGTTCTGAGGTGGACAAAGCTTTTCTCTTTATCGTGGATGATCCCCCACATTCAGCTTGAGATTTCTGAAAATAATCCATTCTACATTCATCGTCTCGTAATCCAGTTGGAGCCCTCAGGGATCAGGAGCACACAGGATCGAAGAAGCTCATCTTCAAAGCGCCCAGTTGTCGCTGGCGACGAAGCTCGTGACTTGGTCGGCGGCGCTTGGACGACATCATCCGCCATGGCTACTGCTTCCTCCACTTCTCTTCCTGCTGCTGCTCCTCAGCAGCCGAATGTGGATTCCGCGGTACCCACTTTGCATTGACTGCTCGTTTTTATCTGCTAAGTCGTTCTGTCGTTTCAATGTCGTAGATGCGAGGGTTTAGAGTTCTAATGTGTTTTTGTCACGGTTGGAGCAGTTGGGGTTGCAGGTGCATCAATTGGAAGTTGCCTGTGCAGAGCTTCAAAGTTTGCACGAAACTAGGGTAACGGTTTGTTTCCTTCTTTGAAAGGGATACTGGAGTTTGTCAGGAAGAGAATTTCAAGGTTTTAGATGTATGCTCGAGGGTTTCTGTTAGGTTGTATTAGTTTGAGTGAAATTTTTTGAGTGTATTTGTAATTTTTTTTCACGTGACAGGCTGTTTATGAGAAACGTGGTGGAGTCTTTTTTCGAACGACTGTGAAAGCAGCTACAAAATCTCAGCAAAGTGAGTTATCACTGTTGTCTTGGCCACGATTTCAATAGTAACATCCTCGTAATTATAATCCGCTACGGCAAAGTGAGAACGCTAAGTAATGCTCTTTCTTTGTTTGCATCGCACGATTATCGTAATTTTTTGGGGTGTTATCAATGCAGAGGAGTTGGAGAAAGTCAAGGCCCGAGTTAAAAAGGCAGCATCGTGACTAATTCTGAGCTATTTCTAGGCCTGCTGTAAGTAGCACTTGCTGTTTGTCTTCTTCGTGCAACTACAGCACCTGCTTTGAGCTCACAAAAATACGGTTCTTGTAGTATGTTCCTGGCGCATTATGTATTGCAAGATGTGCTAAGTATTCTTTCTCTCGGGATGATTCGGTCCACCTTGACTACCCGTCTCTGTCAGGTTGTGTACAGGTTTGAACCAACTTGTTCATGTCATGCCTGCAGGTTTCGCTGAAGTCGGTGCACTGGACCCAGATAGTATATTACGTTAGTCAGGGCTTCATATATTTGTTTTCTCTTTCTGAAATAATAATACCAATGGCTTCAGTTTCATTTCACCATCGACCAAGGTTGCACCATTTGTGTGCTGAGAGCTCACAACATGGTCGCTGCGAGGTAGCAAGTCGTGCATCTTCATATAAACAAGGCGGTTGGGTTAGAGTTTCTAATGTAGCATGTCTGGGAGTGTTGGGAACTTCGTGTTCAAGTAGACGTCAATATCTTCGTTGTGTTAATTCAAGACAGGACACCACAAGCAACGAGCGTTTTCGCGACAATAGTAATTTTTCACCAGCGTTGCGGCCATTTATCTCGCGAGGTCATACAAGGGTACTTCGTCAACACAATGCCCTTCCAGCCAGTAAGTATTTTTACACATACTGTTAGATAATAACGTCTGCAGGACTTACTGGTTTTGATATGTCGTAGATGGAAGAATTTTTCCAAATTATCTTATAAGGCGTGTGCAGATCCTGGTGTGGTTGAGGAAGAAGAGCAAGGTACTCCATGGGAAGGTGCCATCATCTTCAAAAGAAGCGCTGCACAGGCGCAGTTTGAATACGTGACGACACTAGAAAGGTTGGGACTTACAAGATTCTCATCTGATAAGGCGATGACTTTGGCCTTTGACATGGGGCTTGGAAAGGTAGAAGTGGACGGAATAGTTGGTACCCCTGTTCTTATTTCTTTGGACTGCTCGAAGGAAGGAAGGAACGATATTCGAGTGGATGGCATCATAAGAACAGCCCTGGCGTTGGTTTGCAATCGGTGAGTTGTTTCTAATGTCAACTGCTATAATCTAGCTTGCTTAGAACATGTAATTTTCTTGTTGTATTTTATTATAATTATCCCTAGAGTAGTTTATGAATACATAGGTCGTAGTAACGCTGAGCATTTCGTAAATGATACTGAACTGCGATTACTTCAAACATGCAATACAGTTGTGATGTCATTCAACTACTTATGATAATTATATTAGAAGAGGTGGAACTCCTCTATCTTTTTACGACCATGATATACTTCTGTTGTTCAGACTGATCTGTACAAACCTCAGATTAGTGCCAAATAGTTCTGTCATCCAAGATGCGCTTCTTAAGATTTTTTTTTGAGTGTTGTTTGCTTCTTTGCAGATGCCTTGCACCATGTGCTGAACGGATATTTGCATCCTTCAACCTTCTCCTGACTGACGCTCCTGTGGAAGAACCAACTCAACCAAATCTGGGCGTTGTACTTGGAGATAACCCTCACATATGGAGTGCTGAAGCCGATGATGACGCAGAGGCAGAGCTAGACATTGATTTGGATGACAAGCTTCATTTCCCACGTGAAGAGAAGGAGTTGGATATCTCAAAGTACTTGCGTGACACCATTCACCTTGAAATACCAGCGAAATCGTTGTGTGATAATGATTGCCCGGGCTTTTGCTTTGGGTGTGGTGTCAACCTGAACACTGATACCTGCCGTTGTGGGAAGCAGAAGAAGTCGAAGAACAATGTGAATGTTGAGGATTTGTTAGGTCTGAATAAGAACAAGGATATTTGGGGTCCTTTAGAACAGCTCAAGAAGCAGCTGGAGGAGCAGGACAGATCAGATGATTCTTTGTGACACTCGTTCGCTTCTTCCAATTCGCAGATCTTAAACTCGTCTAGCTTTGTGGCGGCGAATGATCTCCCTGATGAGTTGGTTTCATATGGTGTATGTTTTAGAATTGCTGAATGTTTTACGTTGCTGGAATTTTGTTGCTGAAAGATTGATTATATGATTAGGTCTCACTCTTTATACCTTGGCCCACTAGGGTCATGAACTTAAGCTGCGAGTTGGAACCCTTGTAGCTAGAGAAGTGCATGATTTAATGTCACGAGAGAAAGGAAGTTCAGGAAATTCTGTAGCCGGTGGGAGAAGGCTTGGAAAGTGGCCACAACAAAATAAGCTATGTTTGCGTCAAAATTAGCCCCATGGGTCCTAAAAGTTGAACATCATTTGGTCATTAATAAGTGACACATGGATGTGGTACAAATGGATTCGACAATAAGTAAAAGTCATGGAAGATAAGACAATGGGCAATATACATTTAAGATAAATAAATTGGACACAAATGTAGGAGTATTATGCAAAATATCAATAGCAATAATAAAAAAAAATAAAAGAAAAAATTGTTAATTTTCTCATCTAATGGGACAAAGGTTAGGTGGTTAGAGGTATGATATAATTGGCTACAATTCTAGGATTTTGTATAGTGGAATCACAAAAAATAGTCCTCCAAGCATGTAGTAAATAAGTTCTTATACATTAAAACAAGTCCAACAAATATTTTTCTAGTAGGATATTAAGATATTAATAACTTTTGTTTTTTTCTTTTCTTAATCTAAAGACTTATTTAGTACATGTCAAAAAAACAAAACTAAATAAAATAAAACAAAAATGTGAGAAGGATTTAATTTAAAATCTTAACTTAGTATTCTTGCACCTCTATAAATTGCACAAAATAAATTGCTATGAAGTTTGCTTGTGGTTCTTTCTTCATTATAAACAAAGCATAAATATAATTGAATTATAGAATTCATTTGTATTGTAAGTTATATAATGTTCAAATTCAACAAAAAAGTAGTAAAGTTTTAAGACCTAGAAATTCATTGTATTTGTATTTTGTGTGTTTAGTATATTTAGAATAGAATACAAATATACAATTTAATGTAACATATCATATTTCTGATTTTTTTAGTATCTAGTTATGTAAATTATCTTGACTTTGTCTTTAAGTGAATAATAATATAAGTTTTGTTATCATATAATTTGATATTATCATTAAAAAGATGCAAGAAATATGATATTTAGTCCAAAATGTACCTTAAAATCATTGTCATGCATTAATATATCATATGTATAATACATTTTGTAATTTTTAATCTATATAAATTATGCTTGTACTAACACTCTCATGGTTATGATTGCATCTTTAAGGTGCATGTGATAATGTTGAAAAATATGCCACAGAGGAGAAATCAAAGCTTGAATTAATACCTATTACAATTAAAAAGTAGGTGGAACAATCACATATACACACATACGCACACAAACACAACTAAAACAAAAAATAAAAGTAGTTCCAAGTATATAGAGATATTCAATAAAGTTAGGATCCACTAGATCACTTTTATTAATATTTCACAAAAGAAATTCTAAAAGAAGTACAATAATTCTATAGTAAGTATATTAATTAAGCTATATATTCATATTATAATAGTATAGTATTCTATAATATAAAAAAATTATATCACACTAATTTTTCATCTAAAAGCCCAATTTAAAAAAATACAAGTCTTCTTGGAATTTTAGAATATTTAACATAAGGAGATTTAAACAAGTCAAGGAACTCTAAGCCTCTCTTTCAAGACCTCTTATTAGATGTAAAATCCAAGTTTGACACTTATGGTGGCATCATGCTCTATAATATACTAAAGTATAGTTAATTATATTTTTAATATTTGTTATATATCAATATATCATCTACATAATATATTATGTAATTTGGAATCTATATAAATAATGTATGCACTAACATACTTATAATGATAAGTATGCATCTTTAAGATGCAAGAAATAATATTAGAAAATATGCCTCAAAACACAAATCAAAGCCTAGATTGAATTGTAGCTCAATATCTATATATCAACAACATGAATTCTAGATAAATAAAAAACCAATAGACTCTTGTATCACTCAAAAATATTAGAAAATCACTCAAAGATGGTATAACAATAAATTAGAATGGCTATTGCTGAAAATAGGAAGACTAGAAAGTCTTGAAATAAGACAAAAGACTAAAAAGACATTGATAAGAGTGAAGAAGGCTTCACTCTTGCATCCATATATATTATCTAACTAAGAGTTATATGACAACATTCTATAGGACCTTCAATACGTGTCCAACTTACAAGACACGTTTCTTAACTTTCAAGGTAAGTTTCTTATATGCATGCCACATTGTTAGCTTATATCACAAGCTATCCATACATACGATACATAGTTAATTTTTTAGCCAAGTTTTTAATCTACCAATAAATTATAAATATGTATAAAATCAAATATGTGTTTATAAAGCTATTAAGAAACTTTGCCATAATATTATATGAAATCAGTCTATATTTATTTTTCATCTAATACTTCTTATTTAAGTAATTATATATATCCATGATATTATCTCTTCTTTTAGGAACAAGTTCTATAAGGAGCATTCATCATATGTTCAAGAAGTTCAAGATGTAGCAAATTTTATTTGCCACATATTCTAATCTTTGTACCTTTTGAAGGTGGTTGATAGGTTCTTTTAGCCATACTAAGGTAGAAAGACGACTCTATTATTTGATCATTGTTATGGCCTTTGTAATTCTCTTCAAATAAAATATTTGAAATATCATCAAGATTCATTCCTACTTCTAATAAAATCACCAAACATTGGGAGTCTCTTTCAAGGTAATGATATCAAATATATTATATCTTATCATCTATTAAAAAAAACATGTCATTTTGAAGATCTTCATTTCTATTACGTTGTCTTAAAGATTGTAATAATTATAATGTCTTGTGTAATAAGTCAGCAAACAATAACTCTTGAATTGAATCTGTTGGCTATTGGTTTTTTTATCTCTTTAATGCTACAAATATATAAAAATTATAAAAAAAATAAAAATTAGAATACAATCTTCTATAGATCTTATTTTTTTTATAACAAAGATTTATTATTTTTTATCTTGATTTAGATAAATATCATTAATAAAAAATATTAATTTTTTTTGTTGCATTTATAAGATTTTTGGCAGGCTACCATGTATATTTATTAATATCATATTCATACCAATGAATAAGTTATTATAATCTATTTTGATATTGCTTTGAGTTTAAAACTTCTTTCACCTCATATTCTTGATTATTTTCTATTTTTATAAGAGGAAGTGGCATTTATCCTCTTTTCGAGATATTCATTATCTTATATGGTTTAAAAAAAGATACATAGAAAACATGATGGATATTCATAGACTCCGGTAGATGTTATCAATTAGCAATAAGATTGATTTGTTTTATATAAGAAATAGTTCAAACTTATGGTAATCCAACTTATTACAAGGACAAACAATTTTGATATTATAATAAAGTAACCATATCTTATTGCCAACGTGACATTGAGGTGGCTCTTTGCAATAGACATCATCATTGGTCTTTTGTTGTTCTTGAGCTTCTTTTAATTGGGCCTTCATTTTCATATGTAGCTTAGATAAACAATTTGCTTAATTTTTTGTTGTAGAATTATCAACTTTTAAGAATTCAAAAGCATTATATTATGGATAATAATCATAATTATTTAAAAAATATATTTATTGCATAGAAGAATGTATCCTATTATTATAAGAAAATTTTGCTAATGGTAAAAGAGTTATTCAATCATCTCATTGATAGTTGATGGTACACCTCGAATACTACTTCAAAATTTGATTTATGTTGTTGTATTTTGTAAATTTTGCTTAAGAATACATTAGGCACTTGGCTATGGAAGGTAAAATAGAACTTGCAACAAGAAGATTCTAAAAACTCTAATAAAATATTAAATAAATTTTAATTAAATTATAATTATATTAATAAATTTTTAATTATATTTAAAAAAAATTTAAAGAACTTATAAAAGAAATATAAAAAATCATAAATTAACTATATATATATATTTAAAAATATTAAAAATAAAAATCTTAATTGAATCCTAACCAAATCCTAATATAATCTTCAATGAATCCTAATAAAATCCTAAATCAATCGTAATCAAAGCTTAAAGTAATCTTTAATAAATCTTAATAAAATTTTAACCAATTTTGATCAAATTCTAATGAAATTCTAATAAAAATCTAATCAAATTCTAATCAAATTTTAATCAAATTTTAAACCAAATCCTAATCAAATCCTAATCAAATCTTAACCAAATCCTAATCAAATCTTGTATCCTATTCAAATTTTAGATCAAATCTTAATCAAATTTTAATAAAATTCTAAATCTTAACCAAATCTTAGACCAAATTCTAATGAAATCTTAATGAATCCTAATCAAGATTCAAACAAATCTTAAATCATACAACAAATTGAAATATCAAAAATTAATTATTTTTATACTTCTCAATAACTAGGTTGGAAATAAGTATAGAAAATTTGAAGAAGATTAAACATACCAAATAGATTGTGATTCTTTGAATCCTCTCCAATGTTGGTAGACATCCTTTTTTTATCCTAATGCCAATATTTCATAGCCAAAATTACTTAATTTCACCATTCAATAGGTTTCAAATTTTGCAAACTTATTAAAAGTCAAGTTTATTACTTGTCTGCAAAATATTTCTACAATCTAATTAGCAAATTGATGGATATCTTAGAAATCCTCACTAATCTTTTAAACCCTAATTTTTGAGACCTCAATAAGTTTGAGCTTCAATAAACTTTAAATAAACTATTAGATCAATCTTTAATCAATCTTTAATTAAATCTAAAAGAAGTTTCAAGTACTTGTAAAAGAAATATAAAAAATTAAAAATTAATCTTAATAAAATATATATAATAAAAATATTTAAAAAGTATCAAAAATAAAAATAATTATAAAATATTAATTAAATCCTAATGTAATCTTCAACAGACCTTAATGAAATTCTAA